GCGGCACTGGCGCCTCGCCTCGTACCTCAGCGGGTGCCACGAGGATGTGGGTGAGGAGGGCCTGCCCACACCCATGGACGCTGACGTCTACGAAGATGACGTGCTGGCTCCTGGGGGCCGGGCGGCCTTCCGTGTCCCTGCTACCTTGCCAGTCAAGGGCCTGTTGCCAGGCTCGGGAAGCGGTGGCGGCGACAGCTTGGAGCGCGAGGGCTCGGAGGAGGCAGGCCTGGTCAAGCAGGACTCCTTCCGCTCACGCCTAAACCCACTCATCCAGCGCAGCTCCAGGCTACGCTCCTCACTTATCTTCGCGCAGGCTGAAGGCTCTGGAGGTGCCACAACCGCCACCACTGAGAAGGTGCAGGTGCTGCACAAGGAACAAACGGTCAACGAGACGTTGGGTCCCAGTGGAGAGGCCGTGCGCTCCACCGCCTCTGCTAAAGTGGCCGAGCTGCTGGAGAAATACAAGGGTCCAGCCCGTGACCCAGGCGGTGGGGGAGGTGCGGTCACTGTCTCCAGCCACAGCCAGGCTGTCGTGTCCCAAGCTTGGCGGGAAGAGGTGACCGCACCAGGCGCAGCAGGGGGCGAGCACCGCAGCCTGGAGAGCTGCTTGCTGGACTTGCGCGATTCCTTTGCCCAAAGGCTGCACCAGGAGGCGGAGCGGCAGCCGGGAGCCGCCTCCCTCACTGCTGCTCAACTTCTTGACACGCTGGGCCGCAGTGGCACTGACCGCCTGCCCTCCCGCTTCCTCCCTGCCCAGGGGCGGGACAGCCCCCCTCCAGAAGTGCCTGTTGCACACCAGGTGCCCCTTTCTGAGCCAAAAGGGAGCCCCACCTCAGCCTACCCAGAGCGGAAGGGGAGCCCGACGCCAGGGTTATCCAATCGGAGAGGCAGCCCAACTACAGGATTTATTGAACAGAAGGGGAGCCCCACCTCGACCTACCCAGAACGCAGAGGCAGCCCGGTACCCCCCGTGCCTGAGCGCAGGAGCAGCCCGGTGCCTCCTGTGCCTGAGCGCAGGGGCAGTCTCTCCCTTGCCTCATCCAGTGAGTCTCCTAAGGCTGGGCCCACAGAGGAGGTGCCTGGAGGCCCCATGGAAGTCCTGCGCAAAGGCTCCCTCCGCCTCAGGCAGCTGCTGAGCCCCAAGAATGAGCGTCACGGGGAGGATGAGGGCAACTTCCCAGTGCCACAGGAGAATGGGCAGCCAGAGAGTCCCCGGCGACCATCTTTGGGCCGAGGTGATAGTACAGAGGCTACTGCAGGGGATGAGCGGGGCCCAAGGGCACGGCTGTCCTCTGCCACGGCCAATGCCTTATACAGCAGCAACCTCCGAGATGACACCAAGGCCATTCTGGAGCAGATCAGCGCCCATGGTCAGAAGCTTCGTGGGGTTCCAGGCCCAGGCCACAGCAGCCCTGAGCTGGGCCACTCACCAGCTCCTGGAGGCCTGGCCCCAGACATGTCCGACAAGGACAAATGTTCAGCCATCTTCCGGTCAGACAGTCTGGGTGCACAAGGCCGGCTGAGCCGCACCCTGCCTGCCAGTGCAGAGGACCGAGACCGCCTGCTGCGCCGCATGGAAAGCATGCGCAAGGAGAAGCGCGTCTACAGCCGCTTCGAGGTCTTCTGTAAAAAGGAGGAGGCTGGTGGTTCTGGGGCAGGGGATGGCCTGGCGGAGGAGGATGCCAGGGACAGCAAGGTGGGCAAGTTCGTGCCCAAGATCCTGGGTACACTCAAGGGCAAGAAGTGAGTGTCCTGGTCCACCAGCCCAGGCCCAGGTGCTTCGTCACTGCCACCCTGCATCTGCAGGGCAGGGAGCTCCGTGTCCCTGGGTTTGAGTGGCAGCCACCATCCCTCATTCCAGAGCAGCCAAGGGGCCGGACTGAACCCACCAGAGCTCAGCTTCAGTGGGTTTCCCTGGCAGCTGCCCTGCCCTGGCCCTGGCCTGTCCTCCCCAGGGTGTCAGTACTGGCCTGTCCTCCCCAGGGTGTCAGTCCGCGGCCTGGTGCCTTTTCTCACCAACCCTTGCTCCTCAGCACCCTTCTCTCCTGCCTCTTCCATCTCCCTGGGCTCAGATCCCCTCTGGACCTTCACTCACCTCAGGGACCCTTCTCTCTGTGCCTTGTCCTGCTTGCAGGGACCCACACTGTGCCTCAGTCTCCCCACCTCTAGGGCTCTTTTGTCTCCTCAGGGATTCCGTTTTCAGGGCTCTCTTCTCAGACCTGTGTCTGATGCCAGCCACTCCACCCTGCCTCCTCACCCCGTCCTCCACTGGCACCCTCTCTCCTCCTGTGCCCGTCCTCTTGGGGGGAAGGAAGGACTGTTGCAGACAGTTTGTAAAGGAAGAGTGTGGTTGGACCCAAAGGAAGCTTTTCTTGGGAGGCACAGGGCAGGCCTCTGAGAAGGAGGGATGAAGGGGACCCCAGAGGGGCTGCCCTGCTGCCCAGACTGCAGCTGCCTCAGCCAAGTCTGCCCCTCACACAGTGAAGTCCTGGGTGGCCAGGGGCGACACCAGGAGGCGAGTCCTGGGCTCTGCAGCATAATAAAATGGAGTCTGGACTGACATCCTGAAGCCAAGTCTGATCAAGTGGCTCTACCCCAGAAGGGTGGGATGTGGCACACTTGTCCCATGGGGTGGGGCCTGAGCTCTGGCCACCTTCCCCAGGGCAGAGGTCCTGGGAATCCCTGCCAGTGGGGTGACCCTTGCCCTGCAGGTGCCCAGAAGACCCTAGCTCCACCTTGCCCTTGATCCTTTCCTGTTTCATCACCGACATGCAAAATCTGTCGAAGACACTCCTGGTTTACCATTCTTCTGTCTTTTTCCATCTCCGTTAATTTTTGGGGGAGGAGGGGGTACCAGGGATTGAACCCAGGGGCACTTTAGCACTGAGCTACATCCAGCCCTTTTAAATTTTATGAGACAGGATCTTGCTAAGTTGCTGAGGCTGGCTTTGAGCTGGGGATCCTCCTGCCTCAGCCTCCTGAGCCACTGGGATTACAGGCCTGTGCCACCGAGCCCAACTCCACTAAATCATTTTAATTGATGGGGAATGACATGTTTTGTCACCAAATGCTTAGAAAGGCCCTGCTAGTGGGGGCTTAGGTTGTGAAAAGATTTCTGTGTTCTGTTGTTTCTTTTCAGATAGATTTGTTTTGTTTTAATTTAAAATTTAAGTCCCAATAGGGAAAGGGTATGAGAAACAGGACAGTAAGCGAAGGGGATGGTTCTGCCTTAGGCTGCTGGAGGAGGGAGGCCCGGTGACTTGGCAGACCACTCACTGCTTGGGTCCCAGAGCCACTGCTCAGGAAGGGTGACTGCAGGGACTTCGGGTCAGGAGGAGGCGGCCTCCCCGGAGCCAGGAGAGCTCAAGCCTGTCATGGCCTTGTGCTTGCTGTCCGGCTTCTGCTGGTGGCCAGGTCTCCTAGTGTGCCACTGTTCAGAGTGGACAGGCTCTCCCCTGGAGAGGAACCGCTGCACCCTCTATATCTCGACAAATTAGACACTGGAACTTGCAGTTGCACATTCTGACATTAACAAGAACAATGGCCCCCAACACACTGCAGCCACTAGCCTTAGGGCCTTCCCCTGTGGACCTGCCCCTGCTTCCCTGCCAGGAGCACTCAAGGCCACACCTCTGTGTCTCTGCAGAGCCTCTCCACCTCACCTGAGCCCTCTCTAGGCACTCTGGGAGCACTCACCTGGGGCTCCCTGGTCACCAGCCCCAGGAGCCACCCCCAGCCCCACCTTGCAGCTCCTGTCCTGCTGCCCAGCTCCCTGCCCACAGGACTGCCGCAGCCGCTCTTCTCCCTTTGGGGCTATGCCCGTGGCTCTGGAAACACCCCTGCCCCCAGCAGCCCACTCGAGCCATGATGGGCCTCCTGTCTGCCTAGGTACAAACCACCCTGTGACTGCAACTCTGAGCCACAAAGAGAAAGTGGTGTCCCTTTCCCACCCTAAAACCTTGCTGGTGACTGCAGCCAGGTGCAGGTGGTTTGTACCTAGGCAGGTTTCTCTGCTTTCCCAACCTTGCAGCCCAGGCCAGTGTCCCCTGCCCCTGCCCAAGCCTGGTCCTTCCTGCCCATTTCCTTCACAGAGCCAGTCACTTCAGAGGTCAGCTCTGCCAGCAACACCTGGGGGAGTGGCCTTCCTGTGTTCTGCCAGCCAGCCCAGGGTCAGGTGGACGAGCAGGACACCCAGGACACCCACTGGCCCTTCCGTCTCTTCAGCCCTCACACTGCTGGCCTGGACTCACACCAGGCTCTTTGGCAGTAACTAGAGGAAGTAGCCTTGAGCCCAACAAGACATATCCACCTCCTACCAAGACCTGGACACACACCAGGGGCCACCATGTGTGGTGCACAGGCTGCAGTCACCAGCAAGGTTTTAGGGCGGGAAAGGGACACCACTTTCCCTTTGTGGCTCAGAGTTGCAGTCACAGGGTGGTTTATACCTAGGCAGACAATGAGTTCACAAATCCCTGAGCCACGGGGCCATCCTAGGGGCAGCCTGGGCCTTGTAGCAGGGTCTGGGCTCTGACGGTGCTCAGAGAGAAAGGCAAGCGGCAGGCACCAGGGCACCTAAGGCCATGGGCCAGAAGCTGGTTCCAGGTCACCCTCCCGGCCAGTCTTGGGTGGCCCTGGTCTAGAGGGAAGCCCTGGGTGGGGTGCTCTTGGACGGGAGCTGCAGGGTGACAGAGTACCGGAGGGGCAGTCCTATCCTGGACGTGCGGTGGAGGTTTCAAGATAGGGAGAGTCGGTCCTCGGAAGAAGGTGGGCTCCAAGAATGGGCTGGGGCAGGTCAGCTGGGGGTGTGGCCCAGGAAGGAACCCCACACCAGAGTGGGCTGACACAGAGGGCTTTATTCAAAACAGTCATTGGGTTTGGGGAGACCGTGTCTGCTCCCCCAGAGAGGCCCAGGGGAGCTCCCAGAACTCAAATGCAGCCCAGCAACGGAAGGAGGAAGAGCGCTGTGTTGCGGCAGGGCGGCGAGGCACGTGGGCCCCTCACGCGTGAGGTCCAGGAAGCAAGGGCAGGCGGTCCAGCGCTGAGCGGCACACTGTCCCATAAGCCTGGGAGTAGCCCCCAAGCGCAGCCCTGGCAGCTCCCTGGGCCCCCTGCCAGGCTGAGGTGCCGAACATCCTGCGGCCTGGCCGGGGCTCCAGAACCTCCCAGGTGGGCCGGGGGGAGACCTGCCAGCAGGGAGGGTCGTGATCAGAGGCAAGGGGCGCGAGTGGGCACACAGGCTTCTGGGAGAGACTGCCAGGCTCACCTGTCGCCCACCAGCTGCCCTCAGCCCACCATTCAGGGGCCAGTCACTGCGGATCAGGGCCTGGTTGGTGGCCTGGGCTGCGGCCTGCAAGGTCAGGGAGGGTGCCATGCCTCTCAAGCTACTGATCTGGGAAGGCGCATGTCACAAGATCACTAAAAGGCACAGTGGGAGGCTCCTGCCAGGCCCACACGCCATGACTTACCCCTGGAGGTGCACAGGGGGGCTCTGCCTGAGTCCTAGGGGACCTTTCCCACCTTCCTGGGGGCAGAGGTTGGGGCTGGGGTGCCGCGCTCGGTCTAGGCACGTTCCTGGTTGCACCAAAGGCTTCTGTGGGGTTGGAGATCAACCCCCAGAGTTAGGTCCCCTCTGCGCCTGGGTGGCCCCACACAGCAGGACCAGGGGTCGTCTTCCACCTGGGAAGTGGACCAAGTTCACACACCCGGCTCAGGGTCACCGTCAGGGCTACTCTGAGGCCTGGAACCAGGGTTCCTTACAGGCGTCTGGGACGTGATCTGGGGGACGGCTCTGTGATGGAACAGGTGCCCGAGAGCCCAGGAGGCCCTGGGCTCTGGCCCCAAGGCAGTGCTCCCCAAGATCCCCTCTCTTGGCCCACGGCTGTGGCCCCTTCTCTCCAGGATCATCTGCGGAAGGGGAGGGTGTTCAGAGGTGCGTGGTGTGGGCAGGGGGAGCACTAGTTGTCCCCGAGTCAGGAGGACTCCAGGGTGCACGGGGAGAGGGGGCAGTCGAGGTGGAGGCCCGAGCACCTGGTAGAGGCGGCTGCGATACTCGGAGGCAGAGAGCTGGTCTCTTTCCAGCTCCGGGAGCCACACTTCCGAATCATGTGTCCACTCACGGCTGGGGCAGTGGAACCTTGGGGTCAGAGACAGGTGAGACCTGGACTGCAGAGCCAGAGCCCAGAGCCCCTCGGGCTCCCCTCCCCCTCTGCTGGGGCTGGCCCCTGGCCCCAGGGCTGCCTTCCCACCCTCCTACCTCCGCACGTAGGGGTGCTGCAGGGCCTGGGCTGCGCTGAGCCGCTTGCTGGGGGCAAACACCAGAAGTTTCCTGAGGAGGTCCAGGGCGTCTGGGGGGGTGTCTGGTGGCAGGATGTCATCCAGCGACTGCTGTGGCCTGCGGGCAGTTGCCTGTCATCTCTTCTCCAGGGCCCCCCAGGGCCCCCTCCCCAGATCTGTCTGTGCCAGACCTGCAGGCAGTGGGGAGAGACCCCTGCCTCACCTTTCAGTCTCCTCTCCAGGCCTCCCGTGGGGAACCCTTGGGGCTCTCCCCACAGAACCCTCATCTGGCAGAGCTACGGCAATGCTGGGGTCTCCTCACTCTTACCATGACCCCAACAGGCACAGACGGGCTCTTGGGCCAGGCACAGGAAGCTGGCTTGCTCCTGAGCCGGCCTCCCGACCCCACATCTGAGCACCCCACTCACCGGGATCCCAGGAGGTGCAGCAAGGTGCAGCTGTAGCCTGCTCCAAGAGCCCGGAGGTCTGTGGGGGGGTGGGAGGAGGTGTGACCGGGTGTGGCTGCGGGGGTGGGACAGCTCAGGGCCTTCTGGGGCTAGCCATCTCTTCTGATGCCCAGGACTGCAGCCTCTTTCAGGGCTTCTGACATCTGGTGGGGCTCCACCCCACCAAAAGCTAGGCCTGTGCCCCCATGAGCCACCTCTGAGCTGATGGGTGCCCACAGGTACACCTGCCCTGCACCCTCACACCCCAGCCCAGTGACGGCCTCCTGGACCAACCCTTGCGGTCTCTCCCCTGCAGAGCAGAGGTCTGGGAAGCAGGCTCTCCCCTGGGTTCTGGGAGTAATTCCCCCTGCCACAGCCTCACCCCTACAACAGCCTCCCCTCTTCTCTCTGCACCCCCTGCCCTGCTTGGCTCTGTGCCCATGCTGCACCTGGCACGGGAGTGCTCAGTCCTGCACCCCATACCCCTCAGCAGGGTGAGGACCTTGCCCCCACCTGGCTGGCCCCTTCGCGTGGCCACTTGGCCCTGTGGCCAGTCCTGCCTCCTTCGCCATCTGCAGTCTCCCCACCCTGGCCCTGGCAGCTGCTTTCTGGGCCCCCCATTACCCAGGGCCTGCCCTTTCCAGTCTTCCCAGGGCTCCTATTCCGGACCCTCTTCCCTGCACAGTCCTGGCCGGCTGAGCACTGTCTCCCCACAGCTGCACTCTCTGGCCCTCAGCCTCTGGGTGCCCAGTTGAACCCCCCATGCTCACCCTCCTCAGTCGGCGGCGGGATGGTCTCCAGGATCAGCTCCAGCTGATGCACAGTGGAGGTGCCCGGGAACAGGGGCTGCCCTTTCAGCATCTCTCCCAGGATGCAGCCCAGGCTCCACATGTCCACCCCAAGGGTGTACCTGGGCAGGAAGGGGTGTGGGCAAGGGGAGCTCAGAGGCAGAGGTGAAGGTACAGGGGCTTGGAGATGAGGTGTGGACAAGTAGGTGGGCCCAGGTGTAAGAAGGCCTGGGGGTCCCCATCAGAAGAGGAGGGCAGGCCGGGGGAACTGGGGGAGAGGGAGGGGTGGGTCAGAGGTATCTCACTGTTACCAGGGCGAGGACAGCAGCACCTCTGGAGCGCGATACCAGCGAGTGGCCACGTACTCGGTCAGGGCCCCGCCCTCAGGCCCCTCGGGCAGGTTGCTCAAGGAGCGAGCCAGGCCAAAGTCGCAGAGCTTCACCCGGCAGTTGGCATCCAGCAGCACGTTGGATGGCTGGAGAGACAGGTGGTCTGAGGGCCGAGAGGGCCAGGGGTGCACACGGGATGGGAGCTGGGGCTGCGTGGTGGCAGCTTGGGCTCAACCTTCTGATCCCGGTGGATGACGTGGCCTGAGTGCAGGAACCTGGTGGCCTGCAGGAGCTGGTAGAAGATGAAGCGCTTGTGGGTGTCCTCCAGCACGCTGCCCTTCCGGATGACAGCATTCAGGTCAGTGTCTGGGGGGGTAGGAAGGATGTGCAGGTCAGTCAGGGCCAGTAGAACTCGCTGTGCCACTTAACCCTGCCTGGTCCTTGGTGCTTCTGCATCCTGCTCACTGTCTGCACAGCTGTAAGGGCTTGAGGAATTATCGCAGCACTTTATTTCATGTTGCCCTTGTTTTATAAAATGAGTGGAAATTTTTAAAAGTAGCTCCAAACACAGCAGGACGGTGCGGGGGTGGGGACAGGAGCTCCCACCGGGCGCTGGTGGTTCCTCAGGTTCAGGGCACAGAATGTGAGTGCTGGCCACAACAGGGACTTGGGCAGCAGAGGGATAAGGCAGTCCTAGGATCAGCACAGAGCGGGGCAGGAGCTGACCACAGCCTCGCTCACCCATAAACTCAAACACCAAGTAAATGTCCCTGTCGTTCTCTGCCGGGATCACATCCAGGAGGCGGATGATGTTGGGGTGGTCTCCAAACTCCTGTGGAGAGTCATTTCAGGCCAGGGACTTGCGCTGGGAGTGACGGGGCCAGTTCCCCTCTTTTCTGGGAAGAACTGCCCCTGGGTAGGGGAAGTAGGCCCCACAGCCTTGCCACTCACCCGGAGGAGCATGATTTCCCGGAATGTTCTCTGGAAGAGAGAGATACCCAAAGGGGCTGTTTGTCACCCAAACACCCGCTGTGCCAGAAACACCAGGGCCCCAAACCTTCCGACAGCCCCTGTACCACTTGTGCTTCCAGACACCCACCACTCACCTGGGCATCTGTCTGATCTCTAAAGGCATCGAAGATTTTCTTGATGGCCACTACCTCACCAGTCCTCTGGTCCACTGCCTTCCACACAATGCCGTACGCCTGGGGAGAGTGCTCTCAACTTGCTGGGCCCAGGGCTAGCCCACCACCAGCCACCCCTGCCCACCCAGGCTGCCCCCTCCCACCCTGGACCCTGGGTCAGGGAGAGCTGGACTTCAGGGAGGCCTGGATCCCAGGGCTACAGGAGGAACGTCCAGAGGAGGACACTGGGCCATGGGGTCAGGGAGTGGGTGAGAGCTGGAGAGGTGCAGGGGGGCACCAGGCCACAGGAGGGCGCTCTGGACAAGACCAGAAGCCCCTCCATCTTTGGGAGTCTCCCACACCCATCCAGCGGCTCAGCCAGTCCTGGGGACACGCCTTGAGAACTCACCCTATCTCACCACTTCCTGCCCTCCCTGCTGCCCCTGCCCTGGCCTGTGCCTCCAGGGATCACCACCCTGCCCTCTTACCTAGTCTCCTAGCACTTCTGCCTACCACCCCAAGGTGAATCCTCCAGAGTAGGCAGGTGGGAGTTGTAAAGAGAGTATAAAGGACTCCTACAACTCCCAGCTGTGGATAACAGTAAGTCAAAGTCCTGGCTGTTGCCAGAAGCCCTCATGCAACAGGATCCCTCATGACCCCACAATCCAGTATCCAACCCTGTTTCCCTTCCACTCACTCACACACAACTGAGTGGTTTCTCCAACAGCTAAGCAAGTCGTTGCCCCAGGGCCTTTGAACCTGCTGTTTGCACTGTCCAGTCATGTCCCCCTTCACATACAGAGCTGCACAAGCTCACACCCACTCACAATGCGAATACACACGACCCCACCAGCGGTTCTGACTCCCACCCCTTACACTGGCTCATGCCTTCCTAGCCCTAGCCTTGGCCCTGGCCCTGCGCTTCTGGGCCCTGCCAGGGTCCACCCTTCCACTCAGCGACTGAAGTGCCCCGACCTCCCAGAAGCATCTGCTGTGTGTGCACCAGGAGAGGTGACACACTAGGCTCCTCAGGCCTGAGACCGCTCGGGGGCCCTATCCATCACCGGCCTCCGGGAAAAAGTCCCTAACTGGTCACCGCTTCCATGAGGAAACTGAGGCACCAGGGGCTGGGGACCTGCGTCAAGACACCCCTCCAGCCCTCGCACTCACCCCCTTCCCGAGCCGCCGCTTGAGCAGGTATCTCTGGGCTACGTGAGCGTCCACCTCCGCGGCACACATGGCGGCGCCCGGGCCTGCAGGCTCCGCTGACCGCGGGTGCGACCTGTTGACGGGTTGCCCTGGGAACCCGGGGCGGCACCTCCCCGCGCCAGCGCCGCACCTGCCCCGGGCGCCACACCGCTCTGCCCGGTGCGCGCCGCCCAGGGAGCCACCTCCGTCCCCGCGGCGCAGCGCCCTCCGGGTCGCCCCACCCTGCACCCGCCTGGCTCCTCCCGGCTCTGTGACGGTGGCAGTAGCTTGGGGCGCCGCTGGCAGGCAGCGCCCGCCATCCCGGAGCCTGGCGGCCAGGGCGCTCGCCGGCACCGCAGCCTCCCCAGTGCGTGCGCGCCTGGGCCCGGCAGGTCCTGGGGAGCGCTGGGAGCCTGGGTCGGGAGCCCCGCGGCCGGCCTCCCCCCGCAAAGACTGCGGGAACCACGCGGGAGGGGTGGCAGTCAGCAGGCAGCGAGGGAAGCGCTCCGTCGGGCGGGCAGAGAAGGAGCCGGAGCGTCCTGCACCCTGAAGGAGTTCAGGGGAGGGGGCGCAGAGGCGGGAGTGACACCTGGACACGGGAGGGCCAAAGCACAAAGGCTGTCGCTGCGAGAGAGGACTCCACGGTGGGACGCGCGACCCAGCACCGGAATGAGGGGCGCACGAGGGTGGTTCCGGCTTCAGGAGACCCGAGATGGGCTGCAGGCCGGGACACAGGTGTCTCGACTCCTAGGTTCTTGGCGGGTTCTGGAAGGACAGGGCTGACTGGAGCAGGCGCTGGATGGAGCAGGATTAGCTGGAGACCGGGAATTCGGGCAGTTAGGTTTAAGACGCACCCCGGGCAGTTCCTGCCTAACCTGGGCAGGCCTTGGGTTTGACCCCCAGCACCACAAAACAAAGGACACGTTTAAGGTGCTAGTTAGACATCCCAGTGGAAATCTTTGAAAGACATGACTTTGGAGGGACCCAAATTCTGACTGGTACTCAGAGCCAGATTCCCAAACTGTGTAGAGACTAGCTTTTTAGAAAACTTGGAATCTGGGCCCCGTGGTGCACACCTGTAATCCCACTGGCTGGGGAGGCTGAGGCAGGAGGATGGCAAGTTCAAAGTCAGTTTAAGCAACTAAAAAGGGCTGGGGACGGCCCAGTGGTTAAGTGTCCCTGGGTTCCATACCTGGGACCCAAAAGAAAGAAAGAAAGAAACTTGAAGTCTGTTGCAGAGAAATAATTCAATAAAATATAGCAAAAATAAATTGCTAGGAAAAAATTTAAAAACACAGACATACAAAAGTAAATCATATATATATATATATATATATATATATATATATATATATTTTTTTTTTTTTTTTACTAGATTGAACAGTGATAAAAGTCACCCTGTGCTCCAACTGTAAGAGTTTTTAACTTTCTCTACATTTCTCCCTTGGTTCATTGTAGACCTATCACAAACTCTTACTGGGATGTGCTGGAAACTAGTAAGGAGCAACCAGCGTGGCAGGAGGCAAGCCAGGGCATGCATGGCCACTGGTGGCCAGGTGCAGTCATGTCTGTGAGCTGTGAGATTCCACATGTGCCTGCTGGAGTGGTAGCTGCAGGACTGACCTCCTGAAGCATCGCAGAGGGTGGGCAGGGACAGGGTGCTCCCACCCTGCTCACAGGAGTACAGAAGGCTGCAACTGCCTTGGGAAGCAATTAGGCAGTTCCTGGAAAATTTGAACATAAATCATACATGGTGTCTCTGTAATCTCAGACACTCTGAGGCTGAGGCAGGAGGATGGCAAGTTCAAGCCCAGCCTGAGCAACTTAGCCAGACCCTGTCTCAAAATTTTAAAAAAGAAGGACTGGGGGTAGCTCAGTGGTAGAGTAAAAATAATAGCAACAGGGGCTGGAGTTGTAGCTCAGGGGTAGAGCACTTGCCTCGCATGTGTGAGACACCACACAAAAAATAAATATTTTTATCTTAAATAAAACAAATGCACATAAAGAAATATAGCCAAAGGCAGAGATCATGAACTTATTTTCAAAAATTAAAATCCAAGAATATACTTTATACAAATTATATATTGCATGAATTATGCACACAGATACATAATTCAATTACATGTTGCAACTAAAAATATTTTTTTAATATTTATTTTTTTTAGTTTTAGGTGGACACAATATTTTTATTTTTATGTGGTGCTGAGGATCAAACCTGTTTGGGGCAAGGCTCTACCACTGAGCTGTAGCCCCAGCCCAAGGAACCACACATTTTTATTATTATAAAATAATACACTATTATATATAGTATGGCTCTTAAATTTTATGTGAAGTATTATGATATTATTTGAAGATAGACTAGGTTAAAGATGAGATCTTCATCTTAAATAAAACAAAATACATAAAGAGATATAGTTACCAAGACGATAGTCTAGAAAATTAAAAAGTACTCACTTGATCAAAAAGAAGGCAGAAAAATAAGGAAAAGGAACAAGGAACAGAGGAACCAACAGAAAACATAGCAAAATGCTGGACTTAGCCCTAACCGTATCAATGATCACACATATAAATGGTCTAAATACTCCAGTTAGAAGGCAGAGAGCATGACCTTATTTTCAAAAATTAAAATCAAAGAATATACTTTATACAAATTATATATGATGAATCATGACACAGACACATGATTCAATTATAAGCTGTACATATATAATTATACAAGAAATGCATTTAGACCATAAAGACATGAAGTTAGAAGGATGAGAAAGATATGTCACGCACGCACTAATGATCAGAGAGCCTTGTTATGGCAGTAGCAGAGTGGACTCCAGGCCTGGAGGAGTCCAGGGACCAGAAGAGGTCATCATGAAAAGCACCACCCACAGCAATTTAGTGAGGGCCGACCATCCTGAGGGGGTGCACCTGCCGACAACACCTCCAGATCCCTAAAGCCAATGTCCCGGGAAAGGGAAATGGTCAGACCCACAGCTCCACTTGGTGACTTACCCTCCCTCTTTTAATAACATCAAACAGGGAAGCAGAAAGTGAGGATGTGATAATCCTGAGCGACACTCTCAACACTCAGGGCCACTCCAGGGGAACTGGCTGCACGGAATGACCACACCAGAGACAGAGAGACCTTTTTCTTTGGGTCCTGTGACGGCTCCTCTGACCTTAGGGGTCCATGGAGAGAGAGAGCCAGCACACGCTGACTCTTTTATTATTCAAATGAGGCCAGGGGTCAGGTGTCAGGGGGTTGAGTCCAGCTTCCTGATGTCTGCTGTCAGCAGGTCACTGACCTCTAGGAAGGCCACCCCCAAAGGGGCAGGATTACCAAGGAACAGGTGAGCGTACCTCAATCCAAGGGGTTACACGCCTATGTCTGAAGACACGTCCTCAAACTTCCTGGACCGGGGCAATGTCCAGATCACTACAAGAGGTGGTGACCAGTCAGAGCCTCTCCACTCCAGGATGGAGAATGTGAATCCTTCAGAGGGGCTCCCGCAACCCAACTTGACCTGGCCTTCACAGGTTCTCAGAAACAGCAGTAAGTGGTGCCGCCTGCCATCCCAGGGCTCGGAAGGCTGAGGCAGGAGGATCACAAGTTCAAAGCCAGCCTCAGCAACTCAGTGAGGCCCTAAGCAATTCATCAAGACCCTGTCTCTAAATAAAATACAAAAAAGAGGGGGCAGAGGTGGTGGCTCAGTGGTAGAGCACTAGCCTAGCATGTGTGAGGCACTGGGTTCAATCCTCAGCACTGTGTATAAATAAATAAAATAAAGGTTCATCAACATCTTTTTTTTTTTGAAAGCAGCAGATTTTTTTTTAATATTTATTTTTCAGCTTACACAACATCTTTGTTGGTATGTGGTGCTGAGAATCAAACCCGGGCCGCATGCATGCCAGGCGAGCGTGGGGATGTGGCACAGTGGGTAAGTGCCCCGAGGTTCAATCCCCAGGACACCCCCCCAAAAAGAAAGAAAGAAAGAAAATAAATAATCAGCAGATAGACACATTCTTTTTACCTGTGGATGAAACATTCACCAGATAAACCATATTTTATTTACATTTGTGTTGTAAAACAAAACTCAGTGAATCTAAAATGGTTGAGATCATCCCACAGAATTGGATTTGAAATTAATAACGGGGGTGGGGGATGTAGCTCAGTGGATGTGTGAGGCCCTGCTTTCCACCCCAACACTGCAAAAGCAAATACACAAATAAGTAGCAGAAAGACATTTAGAAAATTGCTGAGGATTTAGGGCTTAAGCAACAGACTTCTAAAAAAAATGGTTCAAAAGAAAATTAGAGGCTGAGAAGAGAAGAATGAGTGAGGTCCTGAGCAGCTTAGGGCTGGGGTGTGGCTCAGTGGTAAAGCTCTGGCCTCTGTCTGCAGTACCCCTCCCCCAAACAACAGGAACTGTTCTGCAGTCAGGTCCTGGAGACCTGCCGGTGAGGATTGTAGAAGGCCCACCGGCAGAGGGAAGTGGGAAGCTCTGAATGCTTATAGAAGCACAGATAAGAGGTTTCTGTTTCTACCACCAGAAGCTACAAGAAAAAAATCAAACCCCAAGGAGGTCAAAAGGAGAAAATATAAAGATCAGAGTGGAAATATGAAACCAAAAGTCAACAGGGAGAAAAGAAAACCAACAAAACGAAGAGCTGAGTCTTTGAATAAGTCAAATGCAGCTGAAAGGGGGTCCCACCCTAAACAGGGAAAGGGCGGCTTCTCAGGGCAGCCTGACCTCTGAGATGGACAAGTGGGCGGGACCCCAAACATGATCAATGTCAATGTGAATGCAGCTTGACGGAGAGGAGAATCCAGGGCACAGAGGGGAAAGGAGGGGGACTGTGGGACAGGGCTGGATGGGCAGTGGCCCAGCTGCAGGGGGCTCAGAAGCCTGAGTAAATGTGACCAGGAGCAGCTGGAAGCCTGGCGTGGCCGCCGAAGGAGGAGTCTGAGGCCAGCCTGGGCCGCGACATCCCGGCCTGGCCTTCACTCCTCCTGTGTGGAGGACGGCCTGACCCTGCCATGCAGCTCTGGGGACAAAGCG